GAGCATGCAAACGTGCTGCAGGGATTGCAGGTGTACCTCCTCGGACTTGTTTACCCTTTTCTTGCTCATATTGTGTGTCTTCTTTAGATCTTCTGATGGCTTNTGCAGGGATTGCAGGTGTACCTCCTCGGACTTGTTTACCCTTTTCTTGCTCATATTGTGTGTCTTCTTTAGATCTTCTGATGGCTTTAGCATTCTTGTGACCACGGACCGAGTCTTTGCTGGATTTTGGGATTAGCAACTGACACGAGTTTAATGTGAAGAAAACAACAACAACAACAACATCAACAATGTATCGTCGGAGTGGGTGGAGATCAGCACTATATATCAGCGAGACGAACAGGACGGCGGACGTGAGGGCATCGCTCGCGGTCGATGCTGGATACGCTCTTCTCCCATCATACGCTATGAGGTGGAAAGTGCCGGAGCAGATGCAGAAGAATGAAAGGCAAGGAAGCGCCCATCCATGTGTGTGTGTGTGTGTGTTTTCGTCCTATTTATTATGGCGACAGTCCCCCCATTTTTCGTGGTGAGACGTGTACTACACTTTTCAGCGTATGTAGAGAACTACACTTTTTCAGTGTATTTTTTCGTACAACTACAACCATCCAGGGTCACACAGGAGGGGGTAAGCACCAGGGCTTTTTTCTTCTTTATTTCTTTTCATGCCTCACCTTCCTCCCGCGGTGCGTGCTGAATTTTATTTTATCGCGAGAAGGGTCCAGCCGTCCCTTTCCCTCAACGGTGCTAACGTCGAAGTTTGGTACTCACGAGAGCTTTTTTAGCTATGTTTCGCTTTCAACCGCAAATTTCGTAAAATTTTAACCCCATGGGATTTCGAACTCACGACATCCGCAACTAGCGGACTACGAGGATACCACTAGACCACCGGGGCGACCGGATGGGCCAACGAACCACATCAACATAGGGGGGGGGCGCAACTTGCAGCAAAGGTTCTACGAAGCATATGTACCAAACAAACAAACAAACAAACAAATCCATCTGACTTCTCACACATCTCACACGCATCATACAGCAGTTAGAGTTGTTGTTGTTGTTGTCTTCACATTAAAGACCATCCCGGTCTCTCTATCCAGTACCTCCTTCTGTCTCAATCTTTCCGTACTAATCCAGCACTTGACTCGGTCAATTTCCGTGGTCACAGACTAACGTACCTAGAAAAGGTTTACCAAATAAAATGGATCCCAAGGGTGAGCAGTACGTGCCAGTAATAACAAAACAAAATAAATAGAGGCGGGTATTGAAGGCCACCTAAGCCACCCCCTGTGCTAAGATCTTGTGCTTGAGCGGGAAATCGAATTTCGATGATATTGTGGTATCGAGCGATAGGTGAGATCATCCCCCGCCTACCTAAAAAAAAAGAAAAAAAAAACGTCAACAGCGACGAGGTAGGGCTGGAGCCGTACACCTGAGCTGCAGGCGTCATTTTGAGAGAAAACTACCCCTAGGGGTATTAAAGGCCACGTTCGTCATTGGTTGATTTCGTACGTTTGAAAGCGTTTCAAGACCCAAGATATGGTAGGCATGCGTAAAATACAATATGAATGCAGAAAAAGTGAGAAAAAACAAAAACGATCCACATACGGGGATGAAAATGACGTATCCCCGGGTTTTCGACACCATGGGTAGGGATGGGTTTTTCCCTCCGTGACCTGTATTGCGTGCTCTGTGCGTTCGAAACGAGGCAAAACAACCAATTTGATGCACGAATGTGTTATTCCAGTCAGGAGACGACTCGAGAAAAAAAAATCACGGTGAAATGAGTTGTCTACGTAAAATGGTGCTTGGTCAAATATGGGTACTTTTTCCTGATTTAGCATGCCGCTAACGGTAAGAATTCACGCCAAACACCGCCAAACTGTATCCACCATTGAGGAATACTCATTCATCCCCACGACACATTCTTTGGAGGGGATCTTTAAACACGAGTGAGAAACATGTTCAGAACAAAAAAAAAAAGCCACCCCGGGGAAAGGACCACCGCGTCCCCGGGTTTTCAGTCTAAACCCGTGCATCCCTTCCCCCCCCGGTACTGGAACGCACGAACGTCACCATCAAACAGGGTACGAACCACACGACGTTCTACAGGGTATGTTTCGACTGCACGCACAATTCCACGACCATTGGAGCACACCTGATGATATATTTAAGGTCAAATAAGGATACTTTTCCCCTGATTTTAGGCTTGCCGCCACGGTAAGAATTAACGCCGAAAACTGTAGTTTCAAAACACCTTTGCACCCCCGCGACCAGCGCATTTGAGGGAACCTGTAAGCATGTGAAAAACATCTACGCAAACGAACACACACGCACACACACACACACAGGTCACCCGGGGACAAAACGATGACATTCTCGGGTTGGGTTCAAAACCTGTGCATCCTGCCCCCCCGGTGCTGGCACGCCCTAAAATCACCGTCGCATAGCCTACGAACCACATGCGACGTTCTACAGGGTGCATATCGACTGCGGGTACAACTTCATGACCATTTGGGCGTGTTCGATTCAAATCTGAACCTGTCAGGACAAGTGAGAAATATCCATACGGCTACACCTCGACAACGGGTGTCGGCGTCCGTTGTCGTCCGACCCTGGACACGGAGGGCGCTGGTTGGCGTTCCGACAAAGTCGTCCCTTCTGCTCCAGCCACCCGGCCGCGCCCCCCCACCCGGCCGCGCCGCCCCCCCGGCCACGCGCTCCCACCCCGTCTCCACGACCAATACCGCGGCCCCCGCCTCCCTCCCCCCGCTCGCGTTCTTTTTCGGCAACAGCGTCCAGGAACTCAGGCGCGGTAATGTTACCTCCGTCGGGAAGGCCAAGCGAGCCCCGCGAGGTCTCCATCTTCTTCGCGCGCTTCCTTTGAGTCAAGAGGCCACCGAGTAACACCGTGCCTACTCGGATTCCCGTGACGGTGTGCCCTTGCCCCCTCAGCAGCCTCAGGGCCCTTTCTCCGATGTCTTTTCCAGCTGCTCGTTGAGGGCGGCGATGGGGACATCCTGTAGGGGTGGGCGCTCGTCTCGCCGCTCTTTCTTCGTCGCTGTGCCCTTCAGCCGGCCCAGCGCCCGCTCCTTGTTCACAGGCCACAAGCCCGCCCCAGCGAATGATGATTTATTTATCTCCGGTGTAAAGCTCAATTTCCAGGCATCCGCGATCACGCCGGGCATGTCGCGTTTCAGCGGCAACAAGCCGCCGGAGTTGCGGTAGAAGGACGCCAAAACTCTGGTCACCGATTTCTTAAAGCTTCCGAAGGCGACGACATCCAAGGGCTGGGTGATGTGCGACGTGTGGGAGGGTAGCTGGAACAAGATGATTTTGAGATTCATGGCCAGCTTGATTACCTCCACGCTCACGTGTGATGCATGTCCATCGAGCAAGAGTATGTGGGGTTTTCCGTCGAGCAACCCTCGGTCGCAGAGCTGCTTGTGGAAATCCTTCAAGTAGGCGATGAATAGGTCTCCCTGCATGAACGAATAATCCGTACAGGTGTACTTCGCACCTTCTAGGCCGTTTCGCTCTACAAACCAATCGGCCTGAAGTCGTTGCCCCTTGAAGATAATGGTTGGTGCCCAGGTGTGACCATCAGCGCTGATGGTAGCGACCACGGTGGTGTTCTCTCGCGAGTTGGAGCGCATCGAACCAACCACCTTCTGNGGGGGGGGGGGGGGGGGGGGGGGCGTTAGGCTAGTCTAATGGATAGTTAAAATTACCAGCAGTAGTATACGCATGCACACAAACATTTATAGTCAATATCGTGCGCCCCAAGCAACGGGGGTGGACGGGGGGGGGGACACGCGGGGGCTCTTTTACATTTATTTTCGTGCGGCGAGGGCTTTCAACCTACGCAGTCCNCACCGTGCCTACTCGGATTCCCGTGACGGTGTGCCCTTGCCCCCTCAGCAGCCTCAGGGCCCTTTCTCCGATGTCNACGCGGTGGCTCTTTTACATTTATTTTCGTGCGGCGAGGGCTTTCAACCTACGCAGTCCACCGTCATTTTGGCGGTAGCTGGACGAGGCAACCGGGAGAGCAAAAGCAGGGTGCTGTGTAGACTAGTCTAGTCTAGTTCAGTTTTTTCATGTGTTTGCAAATGCATCTACTAAAAATCGCCTTAGGTACACGTTCGTCGCCGCAGGTGAACTACCAGCTGAAGACGATGCGATGCAGCAATGAAAATATTGAATTCTAGACTACCATAGTCTACAGCAGTATATTGTCTGGAACCAGTGCTGTACTCTACTCTTGTGTCTGAAACTACTGCTGTAGCCTACGTTAGACCAGAGCCAGCGGCAATTTCGCCATTTTTGGGCAGGAATGCGGGAGCACGGCCTACACTGCTGCCGTACATGAGGAGGCCAAAATTACGCCGCAAGGGGGCAGAACTCTGCCTGATATTTCGGTGTGACATGTTTCGGTCTATGCACAGCAGTCACCCGCGCAGTTTCGACTGCTGCCACACGTCTACTACTGCTGTAGGCTAGTCTGCACTGTTATAGACAGGTCTAGGAGCGAATCTTCACCTGTCTCGTCCGTATTGTGCACGTGGTTGGCCTCCGGTTTGACCTCGTCGAGGAGAGCTGCCCATCTCTCGTAGAACTGCACCATACGAGGCTCCTCGTCCTCGGTGATCATGTTTGCCTCGAAGATGCGGGTCGAGCGCTCCGCCACCCGTAGGTGCCTACGAAGGAAGCCCGCAAGCCAATCTTTCCCCGGACCCTTCTCTGGATCCCAAGGGATCCGCCGACCGTCGTTGCAGAGTCGTCGCACCGCATCTCTGAGGTAAACCCGATCCACAGCCAAGAAGTTGCGAGCAGCAAACAGCAGAATATATTCCAGCGAATCCTCCTCTTCTTTGCTCAGGATGGTCTCGGGACCAACCTTCGCGTTCATGGCCGCCTTGCCACGGCGGCGGTCTACGATGGACGTACGACCTACCCCAAAGACCTCAGCAGCCTTCCTAACCGACATGCCATCATCTATCGCTGCACAGGCCTTCCGAACCTGCTCCTCGTCCACCTTGCGCCGGGTCATGCTTAGCAAAAATCCCAAGAAAACGATGAAGGTGGCTAGCAGCGGGAGCTGTGGTGGCTCCCTCGGTTGTATCTCGGGGTAGAATGCTTGGCGTGCGACGCTGTGGTGCTCAAACGAGAGCTCCGGTTGCGCGGAGCAATTCAAAAAATAGATCAAGGGGCTCCGTGAATTCGTCGCGAGATACGTAACAATGGAATTTAATACCCGGGTGGCCTCTACTCTTAAGGGTGCTCACTCGATGTCAGGGTATCGACACAACGATGTGTTCATTCGGGGGGGATGTCATTATTGGTATGGGTGGCCCTAAGAGATATGCTTTAGGGCTCTGCTGCCTTCTGGGCCTGGGTCTCGCCAGCGGTAATCCTACTCGCTTCCGTAAGGTACTCCAGCAGAGTGAGAGAGAGAGAAAGAGAGAGAGAGAGAGAGAGAGAGAGAGAGAGAGAGAGAGCGAGATAGAGAACGACCGAGAGACCACCCCTGACCTTGAGCCCAACGCGCGGTGGACTCTACGGCAGATCGCCCTTTCACCTCATAGGAGTCCACTCACAGCTGACTCCTCTACATATGGTATGCATACATACGTCCGTGTCCCCGAAACTTCCCCGCAGTTTCTTCAATCCAGCGCCACAACCCCCTGATTTCCTGTGTTCAATCTTTCACACGTTTGTGCGTGAGAGGGAGAGAGATAGAGAGATAGATAGATAGAGAGAGAGAATATCTGCTGTAGGTAGACGTAGTTAGACAGGTCGAACGGGTCTGGGGGGGGGGTTGTTGGTTCTGGACCGGAGTTACCTCTTATCGGGTTCTCTTCGTGTGGTGTGGTTTGACGCGTGACAGCCTCACAGCAGCACATAAGTACAACTAACTGTAGTTGAAGATAAAACAAACCGCGTCGTCCAGGCAGACCCTCGTGGATCGCAAACATGATGCAAGCTATGTTTTCGCTCGTCCATTTCAAAACCGGTGTAGTGCTGTTCCAGACATCTAGACTTGTACTTGAACGTACGTAAAAGAGAAAGCCCACAATTCAAAATCCCGTATTGACAGCCGCCGGCGTTCACGCCGGAGGGCACAAATGTGCCCAAGCAAAGATACGGCAGTGGGGCGAAGGGCAGACTCTGCTGTTGATGTGCCCATGTTAGACACCACCCAACAGAATCGAAATGACAAGAGGAGTACTCCTCTCCTCACCATGCGGCTGGTCCTTTTTTTGCTGCGTTGCGCTCACGTATGTAGATGTATGCAGTTGCTTTTAGTACGAAATCGGGCAAAAACAGGTGCAGAAGCAGCCTCTCTCACACGAGTCTTACTGTCGAAGCTACACCTTTTTCTCGCGTATAGCGGATATATTCTGTGTTGTTGCTCATGTGTTCAGAACCTGACGTCAAACTTGGCGTTAGCTGAGAGTGATTGGACACGCAAGATTCTCTGCGTACTCTCCCTCACTCCCCAGCAGTAGAACACCCGTACTTTTCTCCGTGATTTCCCAGGGGAGTGCCTTTGGTGTATGAACAAAATTCAAAATTCAAAATTTCGAGAGGTGACTCTCAGGTGAGGAGGCCTTCACATTACTAGGTCAGGCAATGCGCTCTCGCGACGGTCGTCATGGGTGATGTTGTACATACCGTGACAGCTCATGAACATCTCACGAACAGATGTTATGAGAGCGCAAGGCTCGACCCAGTATTGTTCCGTCCAGCGGGAGACGTACTCTGTAGCGCATCAGTGTGTATTTTTGAATGAATCTGCAAATAATTATCGGTTGGTTGGCAACGAAGTCAAACTACACATGTAATAATAATTAAAGTGGGGGCGGGGTGTTTGTTCTGGCATGACTATGTGATACTCCGACAGCCGATGCGCCAGTTTCCACTTGCTGTGCTCACTACTCTTGTGTTCTCAGGGTTGTGGAGGGTGGAAGCACTGTTTGGAAACCCACTACTCAACTGGTTCCAAGCCCTTGATGTGGTTCGAAGCGTGGAACCAAACGATTCAACCCAAGTTGGATCATCTTCTGGTCACGTCTGGAGAGCAGCAGGAGGGCTGGCCAAAGGAGAACGGTATGTCACGCTGGAGAGAGAGACACACACACACAGAGACAGACAGGCAAACAAGCAAACAGACAGACAGACAGGCAGACAGACAGATAGACACAAAGGCAGGCAGACAGACAGGCAGGCAGGAAGACAGACACACGGACAGATAAAAATGACAGAGGTGCAGAGAACCATAGGCTGGTAGGGAGGAGCACCGTGGCACAACTTTCGCCGGAAAAAATGCCGTAACGGCGATACAATCGCGATATTGCGGGACAGCTTCCCTGTCGGTGTTTGTCAACCGCACTTTGGATGCCATCTGGAAGCCTGAAATGCGGTTTTGGTATGAACAAACGCAGAGCCAAACTCGCAGGAAAACCAGCCGACACCCCCCGAGATCACATTACATATGTACTGGTGTCGTCTTGCGGTGTTTTCTCTTTGGTCAAGCCTGCTGTGGCATTTTGGTCACCATGCAGAGTAAAACAACGCGGGTCGACCTACCGTGACGATGTTTTCCAACGATCCTCTTAGGTATACAATTGATTTTCTCTGGAGACTCCACGTTCAGGCAGCAGTTCGAGGTTCTCGGGGAGTTCCTGAAGCTTCGAAGTGATTTCCAACCGGTCGCTGGAAACGCGCAGGTACGCTTGCAGCGGATGTACAGCAACTCCACGACGCTAAATAGAGTTTGTGGCTGTCGGTTGGCACAACCGCGGGGCATATGAGTGAAAGGTTTGTGCAGCTAGGTAGGGCTGTAGGGTGCGAGAATAACATAACACCTCCCCACTGTATTCACCTGCGGTTCGTGGTGTTCGTTCCTCACTGTCTGAACCCGAAGTACCCTTAGAGCGAATAGGTCGTTTGGGGTCGGGCAGCAGCTGTTGTCCGTTCCGGAGGAAGTCCTAAAACTCAAGGGCGCAGCTATCTAGACTGTCGGGGTTGGCTAAATAGGTTCCCAAGGCGCGGACACAAGACTATCTATCCGTCAGAGACGAAAACCACATGGCATCGTTGCGTGGTTAGACTGTTCTGCGTCTGTCTTGTCCATTGCCAGCCGACAACAGGTGCAAAACGCGCCGCTGTTCTCTCGAGATTCAGATCGTATGGCATTGTAGCAATGTTTGGTGTCCCTCCCAACGCGGCTTGTTCCGCGTTTGTTTCGCCGGGTACTCCCCGCGGCCGCACACTCGCAGGCCTACGAGATGACGTTTGGCGCCCCGAGACATACTCCCGGGTCGGTAACGTTCCTGCTCATGCCGATATACGAAAAGTGCCTGCTCGCGAAGGGAAACCCGTACGTGGCGCAGGCCTACGCGGTGTACTTCGGCTGCGGCATGCACCTCTTACACCTGTTCCCGGTGCAGGAGTCGGCCGACGTGCCGCGAGCAATGCTCAGGCGAGTGTACCTGTCCCGTCGAGGACAAGGCATCCCCGCGAACATCGTATCACGCGGTCTCAATCCGTACATCAGTGCAACAGTTTGCACAAAGAGTACAGCGACAGCTTCTAATTTTGAGCGTCAGCGTCATGCATGCTTCAATAGAAGCAAGTTCTCTCTCTCGCTCTGCTTCTCTCTCTCCCTCTGTTTCTCTGCGTGTTTCTCGGAAAAGACACGCACCAAGAACGTTCACCCCGACAGCGGGTTCGAACGGGAGCCGCCCACTTGCCGGGCAACCCTAAGTGTAGGTGTCCTGTACCCGGTTTGGGTGTTTTGCTGGCCGGGGGGCATAGTCCTCCGTCTGTGTATTTGTGTCACACATCCTTCGTGCCTTCGTACGCATGTGTACGCGTATACCCCTCCGGGTAATGGGGTGTCTTTTTCTGACACCGAACTCCCCCCCCCCGCCATCCGCCGTTCCGATAAGTCAGCTGGGAAAACTACGACACTCTTCTATCGGAGCGCATCGGTGGGTGGCGAGAGGTGAGCAATGCACGCTAGATATATCGCAGGCCTGGACGTAGTAGGTAGCATTCGAAGAACCGGTACATGCAGTTCGAGCACAGAAAGCGTTGGCCTTCTGGCCAGTCACGCGCGCAAATGATAAAATGTGCAAATTGGATCAACCTAGAAAATACTGCGAATATGTGTTGTGTCTCGGGCGTGAAAGCATCACCGCAGGAAAGTCCAAAGCTGGGCCAAAAGACGGAACATCGGACGGTGCATGTTTGCGCAGATTCCAACACTTGGCTATTCTGCGCCTTCTACGCTCGTCGGAACGATATTGATCTAGACTATTTATATCTTCAGTGCAACATATTCTGTCGCTTTGGACCAAACGCACATCTGACCTGTGCGTTTGAAACTGCTAGTGAGCGCCGATTGCTGGTGAAGGTGTCGATCTTAACTTCGCGGACAGCCTGCCGGGAAAGTGTGCTATGCATTCGCATTTCGTCCGGTTTCCGCTGCTTCTTGTAGCTGACTGGGTTGGCACTCGCAGTCCTCCCGTGTTTTGGTCGCATTGACAATATTTTTCGTGCGGTACCTGGCTCGGGCCGCCAGGTTCTGAATGTCTCCCAGGGATGGCGATCATAGCTCGTTCATGCATGCACCCGTGCCATTTTGTTTTCCATTAATGTTGCGCCGGCCATGCTTTGGACTTTCGCACGCCACAAATTGTTGTTACTGAAACTGTAAGGTCAATCCCGACATCAAGCTTGTCTACATGACCACCCATACCATCGACGAGAGCAAGTACTACGGCGAGTGGAAGACCGCGTTGGAGGGGTACAAGGCGCGAGATCCTGCGTTTCTGGAACCATGCAAGTCGAAGGTGTGATGGACCTGCTTTCACAGTTGTGGGGTTGTTGCTTGAATCAGGAATAGCTCAACCGAGTGACATAATTTGTTTGGACCCTGGCATCGCGCTGAAAGGCGCCGAAGTTTGGCGAATAGAAGCGATCGGTAATGTATACCATGGTAGCTTTTACAGCTTTCAAGAGCCCAGCCAGACCCGCAGAGCGATTGCACCACAACATGCTCGAAGCTCCCTAATTATCACCCCAGGGTGTACGCATCGGTATATAGCGGCGTTCACTTGTAATGGCGCCGGGTTTTCAAACGAAGGTGCATGATGGTGTGTGACTCTGGTAAACCAGTAATGCTCCCTGGTAAGAAGGGGTCAAGGTTTGGGTTTCTCGATGGCTGATGCGCGCCCCCCATCTCCACGCGACCTACCTGTTGTTGTTAATTTTCCCTACACCGAGAATGTCTCCTGTTGCCCCAGTTTGAAGAGATTCTTCCCCCGGAGTCCCCCTTGCGAGATGATCTTGAGCAAGTTTGCATCGACACTGTTTTTGGGGCGCATGGGGTTCAGCTGCTCAACGAGCAAGGGTTGGCACTGATGAAGGAAATGGGGGTGCCGGTGGTGCCGGCGCACATGCTCGTGGAGGGGCAGCAATGGGCAACACCGGTGAGCGCACGTCGCGTTGTTGTTGTCTTCACGTTAAAAGCCATCCCGATCTCTCCACCCCGAACCCCCCTTTGTCCGTACTGATTCAACCAGACATGGCCAATCGCCGTGGTCGATTCCCGTGGTCAGAGGTTGACTTACTCAAATAAGGGATTAATAAAAATATTGTGGACCTGAAGGGTCAGCAGACGATAAAATCAAAAACAAAGAGTCTGTAGCTTTCTGCTCGCCTCTACAAGCTATGCGAGTCAATGCAGACATGTTTTAGCGCAAGACTCAAGGTTCGGCAAATTTTACCGGAGAGCGCTATGTAAGGTCTCCCCACGCCGTGGCTCACACCCCTCGACAATGCCTCAATACCCTTCGCAGTTAATACGATGCGTGCCTGGGAGTCGAGAAGCAGTAATTGTGCTCCAACACGCCACGGTATGGGGGTGCTAGGTTGTGGTCTGAAACGTCGGCCCTGCTTGCGTCTGAGTTCCCCCGTCCCCAATCCACCCGCCGTTCTTTTCTTTAGGACGGGGACGGGCGACACTTCCCGTACCTCGTACCCCTGGAACTCTTCTGGCTCTTCAACGTCCTGGAGGGTTTGTCATGATGTTTGAAGGTTCCGGTGACGCCCCATTTCTCGCTCCCGCATCAAGGGTTGGCTCGTTTGTGCGGCGAAGTTGCTGAGAGAGCTGGCGAACTGTGTTCGGAGCATGCGGCACGATCGTATGACAGTGGTATTGAGAAAAATCGTCGATGTTCTACCACATGCGCATCTACCCCGTGCACCGTTAGCGGTCCAAGCCTGCAGCCAGTCGTGGGGGCTAGATGCTAGTAGCAGCCGTGGGAGAGAACATCTGCTGTGATCCATCCAACATATGTCTTCGAGCCAGGGGGCGGAACTGAATTAGACTTGTATAACTCTTCATTTCCAAGGTTCACTGGGAACCCACTGGAAAATTCTCTGGGGCGCTGAGAGCGCGCCATTTCGGCTCTCCCTCGGGCACTGTAGCGGTATCCATCGCGGAGTCCCCTCGTAGATATTGATGTTTCGTGTAGTATTTTGACGATGAAAACGATTGCGTGGACGGACAACGGGGCGGTCTTCGACGTTCAGGGAGGCGAAATTGGAGCGACAGTTGTACGCCCGCGAGTTTTTGGGAAACTTGATGGCCCACTCGTCGGCAGCGGTGTACATTTCCTTTATCATCGGCGGGAGTGCCGGAAGACGCAAACCGTTGCTGTCCCGTACTGTATCAATAATTGCTCTAGGTACGTGCGTGCAACGACAGTTAGCTGCGCAAACCCTTATTCGCCTGCGGTAGGTCTGAAGATACGGTGAACGTGAACTGCGCGTCTATGTTGGATGCGGTGGATCATTTTGAACGTGTGTCGGCGTTGATCATGATGGCGGGTGCGGGTGATTGAACAGGGGTGTTTCACAGAAAAACTAAAATAGAGGGAAGCAAATGTGAAATTGCCCTCGTCGTTGTTTTTTGTTGAAAATCGGGTTGCCTTGTTGTGTGCCTGTAACGGGCGACTCATGAACCAGATGTACGTCCTTCCTCTTGTGATATGTTGGTGAACTCTCCCCGGGTCGGTATGTGTGTGCATGAACTACAGCAACAGATAGGTGACAAAGAAGTCTAAGTCAGCATGACCCCTTCAACAACTGGCAATGTCGTCAGACATACTCGTGTGGGGAAATCAGAACATTTTACGAATTCCATATGTTGGTATCTTCCATTGGTAAATTGTGCCTTCGCAAGTAGCTCAGACTTCCGTGCATAAACGGGCGAGAACCGGTATACGCTCAGCAGCCGAATCTGCATGTGTAGCTCAGTTGTTGAAGCTGCATTCGGTGTTGCAACAAAATTACGCATGCTTGCCAGTACCGTACTTTCCATGGGTACGTCGCACGTTCGAGTACCAGATGTTGAATTCATCTTTGCCAGCATCGAGAGTGAGCGCGCACCCGCTCCGGTCCCCACTGACCAAGAAACTACATTTCAGACAAACCATCGGCTCCTTCGGACCTCCTGTATTTTCAGAGCTATCGCTCATGGTACTAAAAATAGTCCGGTGGCACAACAGTGAGTTCGTCGGCCGCGCTGCAGCTCTACAGTGGACGCACAGGTTCACACGTAGCCCTTGACCCCATGACAAAATATGGCACAAACGAGAGGTGCTCTGCTTGGGCACATCATCAGTGACTGCACGCATGTTCCGCTCGCGCGACACGCTGCCGAGAGGACACATACATTCAACTTGAAACAAAAAGGGACACATCTTCCAACACCCAACAACAATCCATGAGAGAAATAACACCAGGCAGTCGTCAGCATCTCCACAAGTCCACATACATCCCTTTAGACTTGAAACAGACCGCAACCGACGATTTATCCGTCAGCGCCTACAGAGCTACGGCGAATGTCCTGCAACTCACACAGCTGGACCACAAATTCCGTTCAAACAAACAAGAAGTGAGTTCGGGTGTGAATTTTTCAGCCCATCAGAGGTTGGGGCCTCAACCCGAAATTTATTACGGTGTACCATCACAAGCGCGCCGAACGAGGCCTGCGTGATGATATATCTGTAAAAGTAGACTATGTACGTTACAACTCACAGGCCGCACCCCGATGGTTGTTGATCGACGCATAGACTATACCAGCGGAGTTGAAGACAAATGGCCACAAAGGAAGAAATCTCCTTGCTCTTCTTCTGCCAGTCAGCCAAAGTCCCCTCCCACAGTCTCAATCCGTGCCCTGCTGCTGCTGTTGCTCCCCCTCTCCTCCTGACTGACTGCCTTATTTTTTATGCCTCTTCTTCAGAAAATCGATGGTGCTTGGAGCAACGCCGAAACCCTCGCCGGCTTGACTCAGCGCATTCTCGCCCTTCTCCCCCATCCCCCGCAGTATCAGCCGTATCATTGCGTCATGATGGGTGCCGTGGTGGCAGCAGAAGAAGAGCTCACGCTCGAGGTTGCTCTCGAACCCGTACTCCTCCTTGATGCCGTTATCACCCCCCCCCAACCCGAGCATGAACATTGGTGCAACCCTCTTCGCACGGAGATAGTCGGCCCTAGGCAAGCTTTGGAGTTGTTGCAAAAGCGAGGAGATGGACCTGGATGCAGCTGCCGGGTCGGTCTCAATAGTTCCACCCCTCACCCGATGATCATACCGTATGGTCACCGGAGTTGTTGTGGGCACGGCGTCCTCATCGGGGGCAGGTTGCTGTTGCGCCGCCTGAAGGCATTTCGAGAAGTGATCGAGTGTATGCCTGAGGTGCCCTCCTACAGAAGCTCCGGTGGCAGGGTCCATGCGGGCGTAGTCCGCAGGGCTAAGGCAGTCCACTAGCCTCTTCTTGCCTTGAAGGAAACGCATCGCTGCCGACACTACACACGTCCCTCCGTCGCCGGCGGTGGCGTCGTCGGCGTTGCTGCTACTATTGGTGCTGGCGCGCGAGCATGTTCTTGTGCTGAGGAAACATCGGCGCCGAAAAGGCGGTACAGCGACAACCCGGAGGAACGTGACCGTTGTGTTGACAAGTCTCGGTGAGAAGTGCATAGCAGGGCTAAAGCTGCTGTGTCTATGGCTGTGGTACACACACACTCCAAAGCTTCTTCGGACGAATCTCGCTGCTTGCACCAACAAGTGCCGCGTGTGCGGTGCAACCACGAACTGAAACTGAACCTGTTGAACTTCCTGCTGAACCTCTGCTGGTGCGGGAACCTTCTAGAGATCGGGGAGCGGGGGATGTGTGCATTTCCAAAATAAGATGTACTGGTCTCTGTACAAGCCAACAAGCCACCATGCACAACACACTACTACTGCTGCCCTTCACCTGTCGCCGTCCTTCCACGTCTACCTGTCCTTGGCACATGCTGCCACTCGATGCGACAACATCAGGGAACATCACGGACACAGGGAGTACTTTCCGTACCCACGTACACCGTCAAAATGTCAGAACAACTAAATCTCATTCCTCCTGTCGTGCCAAACATAAATGATGTATTATGCACGAAATGATCAACTCTTCTTTACATATGGTCTGTGCTGCCCACTGAGGGGAGAGATATAACCATACTCCCTGCCTACACACGGGCGAGAGAGATGACCAACCCATTACATTTGAACACACGAACACCCACATATCGGTGATGGAACCTCAACCACACGCCTTACCTACGACCGACCACGTCAGGAGGCAATGATGAAAGAATGTTCTCCCGTGCCCTTCGCACATTTATGGGCATGAAATTACACAAAACTGGGAGACCACTCCCGTGTGCCGCACAATTTGACACAGATGCATGCATATGCATACCAAACTCAATTACTTACCAAATCATATTCCTCGCGTTAAATGCATACCAAACTGGAAATACACGTGTAAAATGGATGGAGATCCACAACCAACAGGGTGCCACACATAAAACACCCGACTAACTAACAGCCCAACACTTTTCGTCTACACCTTCCCAACATAACATATATAAGACACACAACACAGCTACCAAACTGTCTTGTTGAGCCTGTTATCCGCAGGGGAGATGTCCATATATGCTGTCTGGGAAATCGTGGACACACAACAGGTAGTTTTCTTTGACGCTATGATTCCATTGCTAATCTGTCTTTGACTCTTTTCTCTGACGGAGATGGACTCGTTGTGTTGTATTTGGAAAAAAAAAAAAAAAAAAAATATATGGTATATATATATTTATTTTCTCAACATCATACAACAAATCCATCTCTATCTATGGAAATAGGTCTAAGATAGATTAGCAATGAATCCATAGCTTGAGCGAAAGGCTACCTGTATGTCTACGGTTTCCCAGACAGCATGCAACGATAATTTGCATATTGCGGTGCCCTACATACCCCGCCGTGTGTTTTCATGCATGTCATCATGCACCCCCCGGCCCGCGCGCCTCTTCTTGCATCTACAGCAGTCTCTTTAATTCTCTGACTTCAAGGTAACGACGTTAAGACGCAACGCAACACAAACATGAACCCAGCACTGATGATGTGGAGCACACCGGCGGAGAGAGAGAACCAGCCGATCGAAGCGGCGCCATAGAAGGTGTACAGCAAATCCCAGCAGTGGCAGTAGCAGCAGTACGATGCCGGCATGCCGACCGAATGTACACTTCGGCCCGAGAGACGGGAGGCAGCAGCACCAGGCAGCGACTCATCCCTAGTTCGATGCTTGGCTTTGCCCTGAGACCTTGCCATTGTCCTGTAGAGCCAACACTTCCTCACCCACCGGCGGCCACTCTCGGCTTTTTGATGTGGTGATCCGGAAGCAGAGCAGTTGTCTAAAGTTTTTGAACTATTTAGACTAGACTATGAGACTATGTTGCCATCCGGCCCACACAAGGGGTACCACGTACACAGCCGCTCCACCCTTCTCGTATGCCGTGCCTCACTCATCGCGGTGCCCGAATGCTTGCAGTGTGGCGCGGTTCCCAGTGGCCGAGACAAAAGTGCCGTGTGTAAGCGGGGTGTTGGGCTTGCTCCCGGCTGTCTACAAGAATCCCACTTTTTTTTAAATATTGATATTTATCAAGAAAACTCTCGCCGTTGTAGATTAGATCTGCATTTATTTCGTGTGCATGCAGCAGAGGAGAGCGTTCCAGTCCTGTCCCCGTGCAACGAAGGACCATCCTGTGCCGCCATCGTAGCATGGGCCATGACTAAAAAATCGGTGCACTGGATGTCGCACCGGCGCCAGTCATGTCTGACGTCCTTTCGGTGCATGTTCGCAATAATGTTAGTTACGTGTTTACCATAGTGAGCTCTCACCGCCCGTGTTCTACATGCACCCACTTTCTCCAAGAACACCAGGAGAAGGACGACGAGTACGAGGATGACGACACCAGCTCTGGTGAGTGTTCGTGACGTGGATTATGGATTATGTAATCCTCACGAGAGCTACTGCTGTAGTACTCATATGTGGTTGGGAGCTATGGAATTGTGCGACTGCAATCGACCGCCCAGCGGGTGCGGATCTTCGGGGTAATCCCTGCGTATCTTTAGCAAGCTGTGATGTGTTCCGAGTTATGGATGCATCTTTACGGCGGTGGATTTATTGCGACTGGTTACTGGTGTGCGGCACGGGAGCTTGCCCCCCGCTGCCACTCCTGTGCGCTTGTCTACGTGGGACGACCTAATAAAACGACTTAACCATCTATCCAATCCTGTCAACTGGGTCAGCCGTGCTTGTACAGCAGCGCTGGGCTTGGGACCAATCAACACTCTAGAGCAACGGTTATCTTCATTTCCTAGTGAGGCCGACAGATGTCGACAGGAGAAGCTGGAGTTCCCGGCACGG